TCATCCCATTCATCATATGCGCAACTGAGTTGGTCGCGCCTTGAGGAAGAGTGCACATTCTAACCAATCCAAGTGGTGTCCTCATCGTTGTCATATCTCTACTTCCTTCGGCAAGTTGAAATTGATCATAACCTGAATACAAATCACCCATTGAATAGATCGCCCATCCAGCAAATGCCTCAGCAAATTCATCCACAATAGCTCCAATTCCTGCATTCCTGACAGTTACAGCATTCACCGGCTGCATATCTTGAATAAACCGCAGTGACCCATTCTTCTTAGGTACCGTAAACCATCGACTAGAATACGGCGCAAATGAAGGTTCTAATATTTTCATCTTTATCTTTTCTTTCAATAGTTCCACCAATTTAGGTAAATGTGCCCTCGGTACTGGAATTGGTCTTAGATTCCAAGGTACATGTGGTACAGTGAAGATAACCATAGGTGTTATAATATTTGGATCCACACACCCAATTTCATGAGATTCGAAGGCAAACGATCTACCTTGTTTAGCCAACATCTTTTTGAAGCAAGTAATTTCCTCCGGCAATAAAGAACCATCTGAACCAATCTTCAATTCTTCAAAAGTCTCCTCAGTAAACTGATGTCCAATACTCATTGGATCTCTTAAACTTGCTTCTTTTGATGCTTCTCCCATTTGTTCTTTAGAATCCTCTGGTAATGGTCCGACAATAGGCTTTACCTTCTTATCTGCCGTTTTATATCTCGTCTCTACTGTGACTTCTGGTCCTTGAAAAGATTCAAGCATGGTATAAACCTCTCTCGAATGAATCTCAACAATCTTATCATTATCTCCTAACCCAATAGATGTAATCAATTCCAATGAATCTTCCAGTCCATTTTCTTCATAAACACCCAAAATCCTCTCATCATCTTGCAATGTACCTATCTTGCGTAATTGTCCTTCAATATCATATAATCTTTTTCTTTCTTTTCTTTTAAAATCATCAACTTTCTTATACATAATATTTCCATTCTCCAATATACCAATAAAACTCGCATCAAAGGCACCTTCATCTCGCGAGAGTACCTCCTCTTTTATACCTCCATAATCTTGCTTTATAGTGGTACCTCTCCAAAATCCTTAAATCCTTCAACAATCTTTGGTAATGGTTTCTCCCTTAACCTATCTCGATTCTGTTCATGGTTAGGAGATATTGTTAGAAATTGTACAGCTTTCCTCCTATCTTCACTACGTATCCTTGCATAAGCAGAACCATCGTCAAGTACCTTTGTTTCCATCCGTGTTGCCGTAATATAAGGTTGTCCTAAAATCAACGGATAAGACGTTATATCTTGAATAAAGAAATGTTGCTCCGTCGCAACATCCCCAATCCGAATTTTGACATTTAGACAAGCTCCATATAATTCGCCTCGTGTGTTATTAGCTGCTCGTATTGTCCATCCATGTTCCATATCAATTGGCCATTTTTGCTTCTTATAAAGATCTTTAGACATGAGATTTATTTCAGAACCATGGTCCACCAAAGCAACTATTGGTTCTTCTATATCTCCTACCTTCATAAATACCTCAGTAGTTGCTTTTGCCCAATGCTTTCGAATATAATGGCTCAAAGTTTTCATTTCCTTGTCACTAGAATCTTCGAAATGTACTCGCTGATTATACCCATTCTTTTCATTTGTTGGTTGCTTGTAACCAATATCAACCTCTTCTTCATCTCTACATATTTTTGCATCAATAGCATGACTCATTCCAGTTTCGCTCATTAATTGCCTCTTTCGCTTAATGCTGTCAATGATAACATCATGAAACTCCTTCTTTGTAATTCCCAAGACTTCTTTCAATGTGAATTCCACCTTAGCATTTAATATACGTTCTTCCAACACCCCTTTCAAATTTGTTGCCGCTTCAATGTCAGAAAGTAGCTTATAAGCAATTGATTTGCCCTTATCTTTTGTCTCCGTTGTTTTTTCTCCCAATGATGCTGAGGTATCCTTTTCAGGCAATTCTTGTGAAGCTGCCTCCCGAGCCTTGTCTCCTCGAGTTTGCCTCTTAAAAGAATTTCCTTCTCTAGTATCATCAAAATTTCCTCGTCTTTTTTCTTCCATCAAAGCTTCATGTTGGCTCTTAGCAATATATGCATGAACTGAAAGAGACTCAACAGGATCCTCCCAACCTGTTCTTCCTCGTATTGTAGCTGTAGTTCTCAATAATGCTTCTCGAGGTAATTTCCCTTCTTGCATTGTAGAAACGGCAGAAGCCCAAAACTCACTAGTTTCCGTACTTCCACAAATTTCATCATCTACTCTAGCACCATAACTTGCACTTTCTCGTACTACTGTTTCATGCTCTTTTAAGTAATCTTGAACCAATGCTCTCATTCCTCCCTTGCCAAAATTGGTTTGAAGAAGATTCTCCCTATCTTTCAATGCTATCTTCCCATCTTTCTAGCAAATAATTCCCTGCCGTATCATATTATTAAATTCTTTGCAATCTTTTCTAGTGTGTGAAGCATCATCACACCAAATGCATCTTTGTCCATATCCTTTTTTTGAAACATTCTTCGAATTGTTTATAGAAGTATTCTCTTCAAGTCTTGCCAATTTGATTTAAAGATCTCGCATTCCTCGTATAATTTCTTCCATACCCATATCTGCTTTCTTTGATAAGGATGTCGAAGGTTGAACTGTAGGCATTGTCGGTGGTGTTGTACGTACTGGAGCTTTGGGTGCTTGTACTGTTTTCGGAATATTGCTTCTATCCTTCCTCCTTTCTTTTTTTGTAAGCAACCCCACCGCATCTTCAACGTTCTTCCACTTCATTGTCAATCTTTCATCTTCTTCTTTGTCTTCAAGAAGGAGTTCTAATTTCTCTTACAATTCTCCATCAGCAGCTTGAAGAAATAGATCAACTTTGTTCGGCTCCAATGTCAATTTTTCTACCTTCGATAATTGAGAGTACTGCCTCTTAAATTCCCTTAGTAGCTCTATTGCTTGTAAATTCTTATTAGGCCGTTCAATCCATTCCAGAAACAACTTCTTAGTAACGTGATTAGCATCTTTCAAGAAATATTCGTCTTTCAATGCATGTGAAAAATCCTCCTATGAATTTCCACAACGATCCGTAATCGATGTAATGTGGTCCCTTATCTCCGGTATCATGGCAAGTCCAAATAGTGCAACCATTTTCTTCTCAGAAACCCGATTTAATTCCATTTCACGAACATAACATCTTAAATACCTTGAAATATTCCTCCCATCAAATTGATCAATTTTATTGACCATTGCTTGCAATGCTTTGGTTGTCAAAGCTTCTTTTCGATCATTGCTTTGCTGTTGCTGCATTGACAATGAGAAGGCTTGAAACAAACTAGCAATAGACGGATCCATGTGTATACCTTGTCCTTTAGAATACTCCCCACCAGAAACTTCTCCCAAAGATCCTTCAAAATTTTTATTTTCGTTTTCCATAAAAATAAAGATAAAATCAACCGAAATCCAATACCTTCCACCTCAAGCTTTCACGTCGGGTTCACCACTTATGTCGTATTATGTGCTTTCCTGCTCGAGAACGCGTCTGGCGTCTGGCTGTAGAAGGTAGTATGGAGATTCACCGATAGTCAAGCAGTCTATTAGTTTTTGACTTCTGGAATATAAACGACTGCAACAATGTACCATAAATCTATACGGATGCTCTTCGACTGCTTGTCAAAGTCTTTTTTTTTTTTTGCCCCAGCCGATAGGTCTCTAGACGTTACAGAGAACCCCGAACAACCCAAACTGTTCACTTCAATACCCCTTTGTACTTACGATCTTGTATCCACTGACTGTCCTGTTAGATTAACGCAATAAATTTCATTCACTCCGCATACTCAATCCTATAGACACCCTTTTAATCCTTCAATCACAGACGTATCTCGATTTTATAAAACAGTCAAGAGTATTCAAACCCACTTCATTTAAAAATCCCGATTCACTATTACAACACTGACTTCAGTAGCGATTGCCTCAGTCTTCCCAAAACTCTATGAAGAAGAAAAATCCAAATTCTATGTCTTTCCTTCCCCGACCCAAAGCATGAAGCTCCTCTCTCTAATTCCCTTGATTCATAAACCCTCCAATGAAAAACCGAACTGGTAACCTTGCAAAAGCTTGAAAACTAGCTCCCCCCCGATTCTCCGAAAAAAAAAACCTCCCCCTTTAAAAACTATCTCCCCCCCTAACCTTATCCTTTGAATTTCTTCAATCTTCCGTCTTAGATCCAGAATTGGCTCCCACCTCAAGCTTGGATCCGAAATTGGCTCTCGCCATCAAGCTTGGATCCAAAATTGGCTCTCGCCGTCAGAGCTTTCTCCTCCATTTTTACCTTTAAGAAATCCATTTACCGAAAACAACGTTCCTTGAAACGGCACAGAGAATAGGACAGCCTGAAACAGAATCGAAACCCCGTAATCGGGACCACATTGAGTCGCCCGACCAATTCAGGTCCTATATTGGGAAAGATGCCCGTAGTAACCTGGATGCTCGCGTAATTGAGTCAAATTGGTCTTCGCGTCAGACTAGCTGAGGCCCGTAGTAAGACCTGGATTTTCTCGTAACTAGACTACATTGGATTGCCTCACCAATACAGATCTCATATTGGGTAAGAGGACCCGGATTGGATTCTCAAAATTGGATCCAATTGGCTCTTCAAACCCGTCGTGTGAATTGATCCTTCTCATCCTGCTAACTCCCGTTATTAGAATCGAATGGAGCATTTCAGTATGCCCCGGCTGACTGTAACGGGGTGACTGAACCTGACCACTCGGTATTTGCGCTGGAGTTGGTCGATGCTCCCAATATTCGAGGTAACTGAATATTAATAAAATTCCCTTTTTTTTTTTTTTTTTTTTTTTTTTTTTTTTTTTTTTTTTTTTCACTATATACTCGTGTTACAACACGACAACGTGGAACACAAACGGGTAGCCCAGTAGATAATGGCAGAATTTCTGTACAGAATAAATCATGTCGAGGGCTTCTCACTCGGTAGTATTATAATTCCGTTCGGCCATAACCAATTGTCGACTCGCAAAATATATTAGATGATCACGGTTATTGTCATCCTTCTGACTCAATATTGATCCAATCACGATGTTGGATGCATCGACATAAACCTGAAATGGTTTCTTCCAGCATGGGGCAACCAGTATTGGTGCAGACACCAATTTTTGCTTTAAGGCCTCAAAGGCAACACTGCATTCTGCCGTCCATACGGGACTAGATCCATCCAATAGTGGTTTTTTTAGCAAATTTGTCAATGGCTGACAAAGTACCGCAAAGGAGTGAATAAAACGCCGATAATAGCTGACATGGCCCACAAAGCCAGGTACTCCTGACACCGTTTCTGGCTTTGGTAAAGTTAATATTCGAGTTACTTTATTTGGGTCCGTAGCAATACCGCGGCTGGACACTATGTGGTCCAAGAGTCTTCCAGAGGGGACCCCAAATTGACACTTCTCTAAATTCAATGATATACCGTACTTATCGCATTGGTCCAGACATCGTCCCAGGCAGTTCAAATGATCAGCTGTCGTACTGAACGTGTAAAAATCATCTAAGAATATTTCCATTGACACTCGTAAATAATCTTGAAAGGCCTGTGTCATCACTCTTTGAAATGTGGCTGGTGCATTGCATAATCCAAATGGCATCACTTTGTATGCAAATGTACCCCAATCTGTCATAAAGTTCGTCTTGAGCTGGTCTTCCTTGGCAATTTTCACTTGATTGTAACCTAAAAAACCATCCAGAAAATAATAACATTCGTGTCCTGCTATGGCATCCAATATATTGTCCGTAAAAAGTAGAGGAAAATAGTCCTTCTTGGTAGCAGCATTGAGTTTCCAAAAATCTTGACAGATTCTAATCTTGCCATTTTTCTTAGGTACCATTACCATTGGTGAGACCCATTCGCTATACGAAACCGGATAAATGAAATCCATGCGCAATAATTTGTCCAATTCCTCCTTTACCATCAAGGAATATTTTGGGTTGAGACAGTGTTATCTTTGACGAACTAGTGTAGCATCCGGAACCAATGTAATACGATGTTCACACACCGTTTCTGGAATACCCTTCAGATCTGCATACGTCTAAGCAAAGGACGATTTATACCGGAGGAAGAATGCTTTCCACTAATTCAATTCGTTACCTTGAATACCCTTGTATATCTTTATATTCTGGGGCGCGTCAAGGGTGCTTAAGTTCAGAGTCTGGAAAACAGGTTCTTCCACAGCCGTTGATTTAAAATTGCCTGTTGGCTCGTCGTCGTGCGAAGGAGACTGCAACTGCTGGTGACTCATGTCTGACCGCATTGCACTTACATGATTGACATCATATCAGGTCATCCATTCGGTAATAACATGATCCGAGTTAGAGGCATCCTCCTGATGGAGTAAATATTCACTGGGGCCACCACATTGGTAGACTCCTCCCTTGGTTGTAGAAGGAGTTTGACCTACTCCAAATTGCGATGAAACTATAGCATCGTCATCTTCCTCAATCGAGTGACTCTAGTTATCCGATGTAAATTCTGATTCGGGCAATTGGGTTTCTCCGTAATATTATACCGGGTACATTTGTAGAACAATCTGGTCACTTCCTTTTCCAATTGTCAATGTGCCGCGGCCCCAGTCGTTCTTAGCCTTGGCTTGATACAACCAAGGTCTGCCCAATAAAATGGGATATAATAACGTAGAACTATATAACCTAAATACAACATAATCGATTTTGTATGTCAATCCCGCGATTACAGTGGCAATATCGCGTAAGATTCCCATCGGCTTAACCCGACTATGATCTGCCATTCGCAAAACTAATGTTATAGGGAGCAATTGCTTTAGATCCAAGTCTTCCATTGTATCAGCGTTCATTAAATTCACAGTGGAGCCACCATCGACTTGTACCCCTGGAATTAAAACTCCATCGATTGATACATCGATTGTTGGTACTCTCGGATCTGGGTTTAAGCTAACTTCATGTATTTCTCTAGTGCGGGATCTCCGTCGTATTAACGCTGAATTCAATGTTGATCGACATTCCGGTGCTACAGCCAAAAGTTGCTTCATTGTAATTGAAGGCTAGATAACATCCAAATTCTTCAAAATATCGTAGGGTTGCATATTGAGAGTAACTCCCAATGCTCCTTTGCGTTTCATTGGTTTCGTTTTGACTATGTTCGGCAGCAATTCCTTCCTCTTAGTCAACTCTTCGACCACTAAAGGTTCCTTCAATGGGTACGAGCTTATATTGGGTTGTGCAGGTATTGGAACGTGGTCATTTGGAATTGATCTTGATGTCCCCAAAAAATTGGCACGTGAAACTGAAGTGGGTTCCTCGTCTTGTTGAGGGCTCAATATTGGTATACGTCTCAATACTGATATTGGTTCAGTCCGTCTCTTAGACGGCGCTACTGTTGTTACTTCGATTGGGTCATCCAGGTCCTGAATTGGATTCTTGCCTTTCTGCTGGCCCTTGGTAAGCGCTGCGTTCACCACCTCGACACGATGTACTGGTGAGTCCCGTTGAACAGGACCTTTGTCCTCTGCCGGTTGGCTTGTTTGCATCTGCTGGTCCCGATTATTATAATTAAAAGCCACATTGCATTGCTGATAAGTATGACCAGACTGCTTATAATTTCCACATATTGGGGCATAATCATCACTTGCTCTTGGATTAGGACATTCACTCGCATAATGTCCGATTTGTCTGCACCGATAGCAACGAAGTGGTCTTCTGCTAGCTCCTTCAGGGATATTGGGTGTCTCTACTGGTCTATAACGGCTCGGTCTATTCCATGTCGGTTGAGTAAAGGATCTTGGTTGACCCATTCGTACTGTAGATTCTGGCATTGGCTTCTGCATGGGTGAATATTGATGATATCTTTGCTGATTCACCCCCAAGCCATGGGTATTGGATATACCTTCTTGATGAAATTCAGAGTTTTAGAAATTGGAATAATTCCTGTTTTGTCTATTCGCTCGATTTCCATTCCAGCCGAACCTATTATTCGTTTGTACTTGATTTACATCCCACGAAGTTGGTTGACTCATGGTCTGTTGTCCGACTTGTTGTTGTTTCCTTAAGTTCCAACAATTGGCAGTGGTATGCTTACCCCCACAAAAGGTACATTGAACCATCATTTGGGGTGGTGAAGAACATTCGGTTACCAAATGACCTTGTCCCTCACAATTGCTACACCAAACATTGGGTCGCATATTGGTCGGTTTATGCCTTTTCTCTTTATCCTTGGCCAGATTCACAGCCAATTCATCCATTTTCTTCGTTAATGTTAACAGCAATGACTCATTGCGATCCCTTGATACCAATTCATTGGTCAATTCCTTCGTAGGTATTGATTTTTGATATGCGGAATAAGGCACATACGATTGTGACGATGATGGTAGTACAGCCTACAATGGAACGGCATTCACTATTCTCTATGGAATTGTACCATAATCACTCCTTCCCGGATAACTTTCCGATGCGTCATTCTAATTTGTCATTTGATAACCGCCTTGCGATGGAATCATCGTGGCGCCAACGGTTAAGTGCTGGTCGTAATGACATTCCTCCCATACTTTTGCTCGCTCAAGAGATGCTGCAATGGTAGCTGATTGGGCTTCCTTTACAAACATCTTCAATTCTGGTGGGTGTAATCCATTAACCAATATGGACAACACAAATGATTCCGGCATTTGGTTATTTGGCCATTTCCGAAGTATATCTGCTACACGACCATAATATGACTGTACCGCTTCCCTTGGTACCATTCTGCTGTTCATTAATCTTTCTCGAAGACGTTCTTCAAAACTAATTGGTCAGAAATGGGCTAAAAATGCCGTTTTCAATGCCTCCCAATTGATAAATTGACCTATAGGTTGGCGGTTATACCACTCGAACGCCGTGTCTTTTAGTGTCGCTGGCAACCATCTCAGCCAAATGTCTTCTGTCCTTCCATTATTGGCTACACACGCTGTCAAGAATTGAGACAAATATTGATCTGGGTCCGCACCTGGCAAACCACAAAAAGTAGGTAATGGTGCGACGCTAGGCGTACGATCGCCCAAGGTACCCATTTGAACTGCAATCGGAATGGCTGGTCCTCCTGTCGCCATTGAATTTTCTATTCCTCTGAAATTTATTTTAAAATAATCTCTGCTTTCCCTTACTCTAATTATTGAGCTCTCAGCAGTCCTTGCTTTATTGTTATTTCTCGCAAATAGTTTTATTGGTTGACTTGCAGGTGAAAACGTCGGATTTTGAAATACAATATAGTTGCCTTTATTGGTGACCAATTCATGCCAATCTGCAGAGCCCCTATTGCTCATTTCAGCGGTACCCCCTACTGAAAAATTACCCAATGGAGTACCAAATACTTCTATGCCTCCTTCTCTTTCAGTTAACGGCCTCAAGATTTCCACTAGAATGTTGACAAAATTTCCCGCGAGTGCTCTTGGCAGTTTTTCTAACGGTACATAAGACTGCAGAATTAACAGTCTGTCCGGTTCTTGATATGTTCGGATGCGCCGACAAGCTTGCAACCATGGTTTAATCCAATTCTGTCGATGCTTCTTTTTAAGATTTCGTTCTTGCTCCTCTATACGCAAGTTCCTTCTTTGCGCTCTTCCCTGTCTTTCTCTCAACTGATTTATTTTCCTCGATGCAATGCTCTCGTTCTTATTAACCATAATCTTTCTTCAAACACTACTGGAATCGTCTTCCATTGCCCATTTTCTCACACGTTTGTAATTAATTCCTAACGCTCAAAGCTATTATCACTCCCTGGCAGCGGCGCCAAAATGTGATTTCTCGTTTTACTTATTCCGGAAGAAACTTCCCAGAATAAACCCATATAGGGGAATTCGAACACGGGGAGTGACTAGTTGCTTGAGCGTTCATGTTAGGGTCACACAATTAATTACTTCCAATGTATCGTCACTATTTCCATTGTCTAAGCACATAGGAAAACGATAATCTCTCCTTTCACCTTATCACTCTCTTCCTTGCAACAATTCAGTTATACCAATAACTGTTATTTCCACCAATATATCTTCACTCTTATAATCTCCAACTGTAATACTTCAACATCACAGCTTCAGCACACAATTACCCTCATTCCAATTACTGAAATTCTTCACACAGAACTACCATTCACATTACAGTGTTTCACACAACCACAGATTCACTCTTTCTGCTGAACTACATTCAGATTTCAGCATTCAATCTCTCTTCTTCTCATTCAATAACATATAATTCCATTCACACTTTCATTCCATGATTCACTTCACAATATTCAGAAACTCTCAATACTCTTATTTCAAAGAACATAACAACAAAAGAAAAGAGGTAGCACCAAGCTTACCCCGGCTCACACTATCACAGTAATGGCGGTTTCTTCCTCTCTCTCATCCTCCTTATCCTACCACAAGATACCAACTACTACATCTCTAATGAAAACTGCTTTTCCTAACTATTCATCCATTTTAACTACTGAACTACCTTTCTAACAGTCATCTATCCCTGTTTACACTATAAACTAAGTATCTACAAATCAGCAAATAACTACTTATTCTACAATCTCATTCCACACTTCTTTTGTGTCTAACCTTGTTAATTTCTACTTACTTGTGTCTTTCTTATTGTTTTTCTTCAATAGATAGTTTCTTTAAAATTTCTACAAAGAAATTATCAAGAACAAGTCCAAGATTATTTAAAGGAAGTAAGAACTTCAAATTTGGATAATAATTTAAGACCTCCTAATTAATTTTATGATTATAATAATTATCATCAAATCCAACATCCTTCCTCAGGTTTAAATATATAAAGAAGATTTATTCTATTAAATAGTGGCCAACCTCAATATGGCTAATAAAATAAAGAATAAATTTTATAAGATATAAGGTATTTAAAAATACCATTCACAGAATAAGGTTTTCAATCCATTAGAGACTAGCCATCATCTTTTCAAACAAATCACATAATCCATGAAAAAGTTCTTAACTAAAAAAAAGAATTCTCTAATATGTCGACCTTAGCACTTATGACAAGGTCTAGATATATTAGTCCTTTCTTTCGTACCTTAATAAATAGTGAGAATAGCTTTAAATATTTTCTTTACTTATTTGATATAAAAAAGTAACATGAGAGGTAATAAAAAATGTAAAGAAGTCAAAAATATTTCTCTCAAATTTTGAATCCAACTTCCTTTAAAAATTCAAAATAGTAAAAAAAAAAAAAAAAAAAAAAAAAAATCAATATCGAGAAATTACTTTTTATAGAAGAATAGAAAAGATTAAGAGTTCTAAATCTTGAA